AGTCTCTTCCACAGGAGCCTTAGTCTGCAAAAAATGACACCATATTTAGCTGGAAAGTAAAGGTTGGATAAAAAAAATTGAACCTTAAAGCACAGAAGCAAGATCTTTCAAAGAAAGCTGACAATCAAATTTCATGAAAGGACAAGTTCAAAACTCCAAATAACAATTAGCTTCGTTTGGGAAGGCTTTTTTTTTGCTTCTTAAAGCAGATTTATAGTATAAAAAATTTAAATTTTGTACTAGAAAACTACTTTAAAAAGCAGCAAAAAAATCGCCCCAAACGAAGCCTAAGAAATAATTTTATAGAAAGCTAACAATCAAATGGCAACTGAATGATACCTGTTTAGACATCTCCAGTGCTATAAGTTCAGCTATACCAGTACCAGCCTGAAAGCAATAAGATTAGTACTCACTTTCACTGAAAAGAAACTGCACTGGATAGACAATAACACAGCCCAAAAGATGGAGACGAAGAAAAATGTTAGATATTATTCTAGATTTTTAGGTTTGTTTTTGTATAGGTTTTTTGTATGGCATATGTAGTCATTTGTGGAGCTATTTGTATAGCCTTTAGAAGTCTTTAAATAAGTGTGTTTAGGCTTGTAATAGGCAGCCAAGGGAATAAAGATTACTGAGTTTTTTGGCTCACGGTTTCCCTCTCCCTCCTCCCCTCTCCTCTCTCTATCTCTTGCAAGAAGATCTCTCAAGATCTTCCTCCTTAGTTTCAACAAAAACCAATAAGAAATAAAAAATGGAAAAAAAATGTTTGAGGCCAAATCCAAAGACAGCCATGAAAAAACATGAAATGAAGCATATTGAAAGCTTCATAAACACAAAAAGTGAACATTCAAGTAATAAAGCAAAAAATAAAACCTCGCCAGCACCGAAAAATAAGAATGTATGTTCTGTTATTGTCCCACCAACTAACTTCAATGCCGCAACAACTCCAGCAAGTACCACAGAAGCGGTCCCCTGCAATAATCAAACAAATCTCTGTTAAATAATTAAAGATTTGCAACAGTTTAATGATGAATCATACAATCCAAAATGTGTCCATCTTACCTGAATATCATCATTAAACACAAGATGAGTGGTTCCATACTTTGCAAGCAATTCAAATGCGTTATGATTAGCGAAGTCTTCAAACTGCATGGCCATACACACATTGACTTAATAACATTAAATATCAGCATAAGAAGAACTTTATTTTGAGTAAAAACTTGAGCCAACCTGAATGAGAACTTTTTCCCCATAATTTTGCTTAACAGCGCGCATGAATTCATGGAGCAGTTCAGAATATTCCTAAACATAAGAAAAGCAAGAGTTAGGCTTTGTTTGGGATGACTTTTTATTGTTTCTTAAAATAGCTTTTTAATATAAAAATTAAAATTTTTTACTAAAAAACTATTTTAAGAAGAGGCTTCGTTTGGGACAGCTTTTTTATTGCTTCTTAAAGCAACTTTTTTGTATAAAAATTAAAATTTTTGTACTAGAAAGCAGCTTCAAGAATCAGTAAAAAAATCATCCCAACGAAGCCTTAGTCATGCATGGAAGCTTTTAACTACTTCTATAGATATGTCATACCTTCCCAGTGGCACGCCTCTGCCTCAATCCAATATAGAACTCATCATTCAGTAATTGCTCATTATTTGTCCCCACATCAATGGTGATAGGTAAGCACTGAAAAAATTGGCGCAAGAAACATTAACACATTTACTGAATTAGAAATAAGACATTAGTAATAGCATATTATAATCAGTTAGAACTTGGACAAGATCAGGTTGATTAAGAGATGCTTACTGCAGATGGACGAATTCCTCCAAGAGCAGAATAAAGAGAGAGTTTGCCAACAGGAATCCCCATTCCCTGTTAAATTTAAGAGTTTTTTCTATTTTTTAGTATACAATTTATAAGCATTTTGATAGGAAATACTTGAGTTCGCAAGCAGCCCTATGGGGAATACTTGAGTTCACAAGCAAACCTAACCACAATTGGTGAAAACAGGGAACAAAACTGCTGTTTACAGCAGAAAATCAGCAACCAACAACAGATTTCTTGGGAAAAACAGTAGAAAACTGGGAGAAAACGAAGGATTCCACTAGTAGATACAGGAAAACATCAAAATATATATGTTTCTTTAATTCGGGAGGAATAAACAACTCTTTGATTCTCTAGCCAAGCCTAGAGCCCAAGAACACAAACTCTAGATCTCCAATTCCTTTCAAATTCAAGATGAAACCCTAATTCTATCATTAACCCCTAATTAAAGCAAAAGGAGACATACAAAATCCCTAGAAAGCCCTCTAATTCAAATTTCCCTCCTAAACACCCATTATATTAATTACTTGGGCCGACTAGGCCATCTGCCCTCCCCCTAGTTTGGTGGTAATACACCTGAACCGATCCAGGTTGGATCGGTTCAGCTGGCCTAACACATTTACTAAACTATTCTTATTATGCAAAACATGGTTAAACAAACTTGACCTGGCAACCAAGGTCTCCAAGACCCAATATACGCTCACCATCAGTGACCACAATAACCTGAATTCTCCTCTCAGGCCAGTTCTTCAAAACTTCTAAGATCTTACCCCTGCAAACCCCAAAAGATTCATTAACATAACTAAAAAATATACCCTGAAAAAAGAAAGCAACCAGGCCATGTAACCTCATACTTTTCCTTCAAACTGATGTAAAGACCTTGTGGACGCCTAAAGATACCACCGTATTTCTGACAAGCCTCCCCAACAGTTGGTGTATAAACAACAGGTAACAACTCTTCAACGTTCTCAATAAGAAGTTTGTAGAAAAGCTTCTCATTTCTCTCCTGCAAAAGTGAAGGTAAGACACAAGTACGACCAAACAAAGTATCATTAGCAAGATTAAAGGTATCCTGAAACAAATATAAAAAGAACCTGAAGATCCATCATTGCCATGTATCGCTGCAGTGGAACTTGATACTGACGAAGATTGTGAATAAGCTTCTTTTCCTGCGGGATAGAAATGAACGGATTAATAAAAGATTGAAATTTAGGCTTCGTTTGGGACGACTTTCCTACTGCTTCTTAAAGCAGCTTTTTAGTACAACAAATAAAATTTTTATACTAAAAAATTGTTTTAAGAAGCAGTAAGAAAGCCACCCCAAACGAAGCCTTAGTAACAATCTCAAATAACTGCTTTTAAATTCATAGACATGTAAGAACCTGAAGCTCCTGACTGATGCATGCGGGAGGTAAGAGTCCTCTTAAGTAGTGTGCATCTCTTTCTTTCTCACTGAAGGCAAGCCCTTTATTATGATGGGGATCTCTCAACAAAGAGTAACCACTAGGTGACAAGAAAGGAAAAAATGCTCAATGCAATCAGATGGTATAAAAACCAAATACAAAGCAAAACCACACCTATAAAGCAGTGTGTTATTATTCTAAAGTACACTTTGAATTACATTGACTGGAAAAATGTGCTTAAATCACAACTGCTGGTTTTCTAAGAAAGATAAATAATAGAGAAAAAAACCA